AGAAAAAGACAAAAGAAATGTCCAGGGACTGTCTTAACATCCAAGTTAGACAAAGACCAAACCTTGAGTGGCCTAGTTGCACCCCTGTCCTATGTGAGAGGACTTTGAAGTTTCACATCTAACTAGACTTTCAGTGATAGTTTTGAAGGCAAAGAAAAGGGGAGACTTTATGGGGGCTGTCTGCAATCCCTCCAGCCAACGTACATATAGTTATGTTTCTTTCAAGGAGAGAAATGGGATTTAAGATTCTGAAATCAGAAATAGGCAGGCTACAAGCTTCAGTACTTAGAACAGACAAAAGAAAGCTTAGAGAGATCCAGCAGCCTGGGTTGGGAATTCATAGGCTTTTCCGAAAAGCACCACCAGGCATGTGGCCCAAGATTAAGTCATCATCGAGAGAGCACTGCCACCTTGTGGCAGCTTCTGGCACTGCACACCTTCACCAATCCATGAAGGATTCCTGCGTTTTAGAGTTTTGCTTACTTTTCTCTCTTTTATTGGCTAAAAGACAAGACTGATAGCGTCGACATTTACCGAGACAAAAGACGGAAACCATGCGTTTGTGCACAGAGAGTGAGTTTATAATTGAACAAACTGACCAAGAATGTTTCTAGCTGGGAAAACACAAAACAAAACAACTCTGGGTTTCTGACAACAATGTATCAGACAGCCAAGAGTGTAGTTCAGTCCATAGAGACTTTACCTAGCAGGCCTGCATCCGTGGGCTTGCTTGATCCCCAGTACAGCATAAACTGGGGACAGGGGCAAAAAAGATCAGAAGTTCAAGGTCATCCTTAACTGCAATGAAGAGTTTAAGACCTGGGCTACATGAGACCTTGTCTCAAGGGGTGTGTGTGTGTGTGTGTGTGTGTGTGTGTTGTGTAAAAATTAGGCCAGCAATTTGCTGGTTCCTGAGTGATTATAACTCATATCTCTTTGGCAAAGCAGGGAGAGCTATGTTTGACAGCAAGATAAGATGGGTGGAGGATATTCTTCTACTGTTTTTTAGTTCAACACTTAAACAATGGCTCTTAGAATCTGAAGAGATCTTAGAAGACATATTTTATATCTCTTATTTTAAATATATATTTTGAGGCCTCACCTAAAGTGTGTGTGTGTGTATTTCACATATATATTTGTTTATAATTCAGTAGTAAGGAAGATGGCCTAATTTTTACACACACACACACATACACATCTTGAGATAAAGTCATACATATGCATGTATATATGTATATATTTATGTGTATATATATGATATAAATGTATATATTTATACATATACACACACATATATATATGTATATATGTTATAAATTAAAATGATATCATTCAAGCTGGAATTCCACATGATGGCCCTGGACACTCCAGGGAGCTCATCCTAAGCTCTCATTCTCCTCTGCTATTAATCTGTTTTAAATGAGCTTTGATCCAAAACTATTCGTTTACTAGTGCTATCGTAACAGAGCCCCGGGCCTGAGGATCATACAGCACTCATACACCCCATCCAGGGTTCCTAAGCCCAGAATCGAACTCAAGTTCCTGCTAACACTGGTGTCTAGTGAGGCCTGTGCTCTAGAAGCACAGCTGGCAGATTTCTCTGTGTGCTCACATGGTCCTTCCTCACTGGATGAATGGGAGGGGACAAGTAGCCAGAGGCCTGGCTCTGTGCTGCCCCTTCTTATAAAGGGACCATTTTGTGACATAAGAGCCAGACTCCACTTAACTCATTTCTACGGAGACTTTATATCCATGGTTGGGTTTGGGGTTTTTTCTTGTTATTGTTGTTTGAGTTTTGTTTTGTTTTGATATTGGGAGGAGATAACTGATCCCATAACAAACATATTTTTATTTTTACTTTTTTTAATTTTTTTAGGAAGAGGCTTTTGATGGTCTCAGAACCTTGTGACTATATCAGTATCCACTGAGATCAAGAAGACAGAAAACCTGGGGAAAGAGGGTTCTCCATCCCCAAGAGGGCAGCAGAGACAGAGGTTGGTCATGACGAAGGAGTGTCTGAACGGAGCCTTTCTGTAACTGAAGTAACTCAGAAGGGAAAAATCCAGAAAGCATGGCAGCGTTTAGGTTCTCTGGTTAAACTTCAGAATTTCCTTTTTAATCTAGAATGGGGCTGAAAGTGGAAACACATTCTAATTCTGTTGAAACACAGACTTGAACCATGTGACTGTGAATCTCGAAGTACATACTTCATATGGAGTGAGAAAAATGGTTTGGTTTTGTGGTATGGACGTACAGAGGTTGAGTGAAACTCCGAATTGTCTTTACGTTTATTATTTTATTACGTCTATTATAGCGTGTACATGGATGCAGTTGTTCAGCAATTTCTACTTTAACTTCTGAGCCATTGTGAGTCCTTGGTTTTTAGGTTTTTGTTTTTTCCACTTACAAATGCCATGGCAGAGTATAACAGCCATCTTCCTGAGGTAACTGGATTGACCCTGTCACAGGCTCATGCCACCATGTACTGTGTGTGACACACAGCAGCTGGTGTGTGTGTGTTTGTGTGTGTGTGTGTGTAGAAGGGAGAAGCAAAGAGGAAAGGGGGAAAAACAAGAGCTAAAGACAGACACAGGATCACAAGCACTAAGTGGATGCTGTCATACAAAGAAGGAAGTGCTGCTTGCAGTGTTGTTCTAGTTACCTGGTGCTTGCCTGGTTTCTGCCAGTGGCCTGCTTCCTGGTGGCATTCTCTGAGTTCATCCCAGAGGTCTGTATGTTAGCACTGTCTTTCACTGAAGTAAAATGTGCTGAAGCCAATGGGATTGGAAGGGAAATTCAGGCAGGCTCTTCAGGAAAACAGTGATGGCCTCAATTCTTGGTGTTATGCTTCTTGGGTCCTTGGGCTCTGTCGCTGAGACCCCAGCACGAGGTCTCTGGTCCTAACACTTCTTCCTCAACTTCTCAGCCTGTGGAGTGTCTCCCTTTGCCCTCATTCTCCTTCCTGTGATGAAGCCTCAGTTTCCTAAGGGTTCAGAAACTTTCACAGAGCATGTTGAAGCCAGGAATGGGTAGCAGGAACCAAGGGACCTTTCTGGTGTGCCTTTCCAAACTTGTATTTGTGCATGTGGGGACCAGGACACTGTGCTGATAGATGACATTGAGGGCACATGTGAGTGAATGGAGGAAAGAAATCTAGCAAGCCACAAGAAAAGATTGTCAGTTGCTTCACAGGCACGTGAGGGAGAGAGGTGGAGAGAGACCTTACCGACAGGCCTACCTGATCTATAGACCTACCTGACCTACAGACCTGCCTGACCTACAGATCAGGAAACGAGCAGTCTATCAAGGCAGATAACCTCTCCTTTTGCGTATGTTTTCCTGATTCTAAGAGTGATTCAGACTCAATGTAGGAACCTCATGGTGCTCAAAGGGATGGGAAAGCAAGACAGAAGAAACTGAGCCTGAGGATGCTCCAGATATTTGGGAACTGTTGCCTAACTTCAGCCAAACCTGTCTAAGGGCAGGCAATGGGTAGACTTCTGATTCCTATCAAGCTTTGGGGCTGTACCAAAGTCCTGTTGTAAGATAGATCTCAAGCATTATCCAGGCACATCCTTCCTTGGTCTCTCTTGACCCAGAGACAGCTGAGTTATTCTGTGGAAGGACAAGGTAGGGGTATAAGAGGTGATTGGGAAGCAAGGCAGAGGAGAAGCCCTTCCTACATGCCCTCAAGATCCTGAAAGTGCCCAAAGATGATGAGACACTCTAAAGTTCTTCCACGGGGGATTTGAGAGTGGGAGTAGATTGGATTCTGAAATGAGTAGCTTTGGAGGGGATTTGTTGTTTCCAGAAGATTGTGGCTTCAGACCCTTTTCATCATCTCCTGCCTGGGTCATCAGGAAGATATCTGGGCACAATCCTCTTCCTCCAGGAAGCTGAAGGGCAGAGCTCAAAATATTCCTGGGCAACCTGCCTTCTTCCCATGTCTTCACTGAGATTGAGCTTGGGTGTTGATCCCTTTGGCCTGTTTCCTATCTTGTGACAATCCAGAGTCGTGGACAAAGCTGATACCACACACTCTTGCTACTTGTCTTCTGGCTCTGCCTGTCTTCAACCCTTTTCTTTATCTGAAGGGCCTTCCCCCTAATTTATTACAGTGCTCCCTCATCCCTCCTTAGCTCAGTGTCTATAATGGTGGAGAGGAAGAGTCCCCAGTAAGATTACTCAGGGGATTAACTAGGGACAGGTCAGCATCTTAGTCCTGAACCCCCACCACTTTCCTGGTCACCTGCTCCTCCCATGTGCAAGCCAGCTTGACGCCAAGACATCCTTGCTTTACTCTCTATCCAGAGCTTAAGCCAAATATCATATGTGGGCCCTGGAATGAGGCCAAGTGTCATCTTGTCTGCACATCACCTGGCAGAGAACATAGTCCAGAAAAGGGTACTATGGGAATGCTGCCCCCCCTCCATTCTCTTCTACCATACTTGGTTTTGCAAAATAACCAAACAGGACTGCACTGAGCAAGCTTCATCTGGGTTTTTGTATATATAACCTGATTTTCTGCATCTGGAAGATCAGGAGGCAAACCCAACTCTACAAGTTGTTCTCATCATCACCCTACCCTCATCCCTAGGACCTTGCCTGCTCAGGCTCTTGGCTTCATAGGATGTGCCTTCTGTCTCTCACAGTGCCTGGGACATCTGCCCCTTCCACCATTAGACTTTGTATATGGCCTCCGTTAGTCTAATCCATCCTACAGTACTCATCTCTATTTTTCTCTAGGACAGCAAGTCTCACCCAGGACTGGGCACTGTTATATCTTGGTCCTGTGTTGCTCCCTCTACAGAAGATGCAGATGTACATCTAAAGGTAACTGGGGGCTCCCATTAGTGTCCCCAACCCAGAGGCACATGGGCTCTGAGGGGAACACATGAGCTGAATAGGACCATATATGTTCTGGGCAAAGGGCACAGTCCTACTGAGCTCTGGAAACTGTCACTGTGAAAAGGAAACTGAGTTGTGGCTCCACATCTTCTGACATATGGAGTGTTAAATAATTGCTCTAATTTTTAAATACTGTCAATGAATGTTAAAACCTTTAAAAGCAATCTTTAACCCAACTCTCATATAGCCAAGGACTCACTTTGAAAGCTGGTGCTTTTGAATGCCTCCGGAAGCACCTAAGCTGCATGTTCTGGTCCAATCTGTATGGTCAAGTCATCATTTCTGTCATCTTGTCTTACAATAAGGGACATAGAGCAAGGGGCAGGCTAAGTCACTGGTGCCACTACAATTTAGTACATGCTATTTGAAAAACTATAGCCTCAGATGACTTCCAAAACCAAACCCCAGGGCTTTGTCCTTTATTGTAGGCTGGGTTCATGTGCAACATGGTCAAGGCTCATATAGTATCTGTTTCAGTGAGCGTTTTCTTGCTTACTCAGTGCATGTTAGATTGTTCAACCATGCTGTTGTTAGTCCACAATGTCATCTAGGGTTTAGATAGATGGGGTTGGAGAGAATTACTTTCCCATGGCCCCTTAGACTGTGTGTAGAGGGCTATGACCAGCACTCCTTTCATTGAACCTAGTATCTGAATTCTTAGGTCCAGCCTAAGGTTAGACTCAACAGAGATCTTAGGGCTTGTGAGTAAGTGTCTGCCAGGGCTTCTGGGGGCTGTCAGGAAGAATGCAGCAGCATCTTCCTGTCCTGGAGCATACTTAGCCCAGGCTTGAAGAGGTAGGCTTGACAGTGATCAGCCCCTTGAAGTGTTTCACTGGGTTCGATCCTTCTTGCTCTTTTGTGGAGACAGGCACTGCCAGGTTCCTCTGCAGACCATCTCGCTGTGCAATGCATAGTTGATGGCGTTGACTGTGGGCATGGTTTTGGCAATGAGGGCGGGCACCTGTTGTGGTGGAAAAGTCCATGAAAGATACTTTGAAGCTTCTACTTTTCTCCTTGTCCCACTTATGACTTTTTCTCTTTCCCCTTGGAAACTGCCACTCATTTGTCCTCAGCTTGATCCTTTGGCCTCTGAGCCTCTCCTGGTGGATGCTCACGATTCATAGAATGTCACAGAATCCCCACTACAAAATCAGAACATACTTGTTCTGAAACTGGGTGTCAACTTCAGCCCCTGAAGTCACACCCAGACTTCTGGGTGTCTCAGAGTACATATTCACTCTATGTCTAGCTGTCCCTATCATCTCAGTATAGGGTAGGGTGTATATGGATCAAAAACATTTTCTGCATTTTGTGAATATTTAAAGGAAGAAGAAGACAGGAGGAAGAAAGAAAGAATAAGTAAGCATGTTAGCAAAAAGCTAGAAAGAGTGATACAGAGAGACAGATGTGAAGATGTACAGGATTCCTTGGGCTTTGGAAGAATCTGTACCATCTGTAGTTTGGGAGAGATGAAGCTCACATCTGCGATGGCTGCATAAAGGTACAGGAGGGCATAGGGGCCCCAGCCCAGCAGTAGCATCCTGCCTGGAAGAGTAGTATTCACCTAGGGGAAAAAATCAGAAGCATCAAGTCACTCCATAGGCCAGAACTATGCAGAGGCAAGGGTCCTAGCACAGACCATGCTCTTGGAAAGGTTTGAACCAGAAGATCTGGGCATCACATGAGCTCTTTGCCTTGAAAGGCTATACAGCCTTAAGCCTGTTAGTTAAGCTCACCTGGCTTCAGTTTCCTTGTCTATAAAATAGTCTGATATAGCTCAGTTGCCTGTAGGTAGGGACTGGGGGGAGGTGGATAATAAGCTTTCTTCTAGGTCTTGAGGTACTCAGATCTGAGCTCCCCTCGGGCTTAGAATGATCTCACTGTCAGTAGCTGCAGCCACGTGTGAGATAAGCCTGTCTGGGCTCAAAATTTTTCACCATATCAAACATAAACAGGGAGTGGGCTGGCAGGGAAGATTGTTGATGGTAAAGTTTCTCCTGGACCCACAGGAATACTAATAACTAGGTATTTAATTTCAGGATGGATTTGAAATGGTTTCACTTCTCATATACTCCAAGGCATGAGGATTCTAATGGGGAAATAGCTCTTTGACAAAGGAGATTTAATTGCATGAGGACCCATTTCCTTCAATGTTGGATTTTTAAAATATGTTGAGCAGTGATGCTCATACCACCGCTCAGTGGGCTTCACAAGCCTGAGGACCACTCCTAACTAGGAAGCTATGAGCAGTTGATAGCTCACACGGATGTGACCTCGCCTTGGCTAACCGTGCTCCAGCAGATGGTCCTGCATATATGAGCAGTGCAAAGTGAGGCTGCTGGGTAAATTTTTTTTTAAAAGGTATGAAGCTGTGTGTTAAGGAAGTGGAGATGGACCTGAGAGGAGTAGGAATTGCATTAAAATATATTGAATGAAATTCTCAGATAATTTTTAATAAAAATAGTTGTTTGAATACAGAGATGAGCAATGTGGAAGAGAACCTAGGAGATGATGCTCTAGCATCCAAGCTAAGATCCAGGATCCTTGTACCTGTGTAGCCCTCAACCTCTTAGCTAGATCCACAGATGAAACTAATTTATAATGTTATTTTCTAATTCATGCTAATTAATTTAAGTGGCAGATTGTCTTATAAGAAGAATATTTCTATGTACTAGAATTGAACACTTTGTTGAAATGTCCTAAAGCTGGGTTTGTATTGATCTCTGCTATTATTAAGTGTGTGGCATTTGGCAGCTCTTTCAGCTACCTTCCCTGTACCTCAAACCAGTCTGTAGCATGGGAGTCAGAAAGCTTTCATTTGTCAGAAAAGATTCTCAAAGATGAAGTGAAAATACACACAATACCTCTAGTATCAATGTTTGCTTTCACAACAATGCTGGTTTGTTATGATTCATTTGTTAATTTTTTAGGTAGCAAAGTTAAATGAAAACCTCTGGCAAGGGAATTTTAATACAGAAATTCTGAAATGGCCAGCAGGTCTTATTTAAAAGCATGATTTTTCTTGGACAAATGTGCTTGCAGGTGTTGTTTTACATTGTGGGTAATAGTCTGTGACTGTGATTAAATTAAACACCTTAAAGTAATTTAAAAAGCACCATTTGAAGAGTCCTGCAATTTAGCCTTGACCCCCCCTCCCCCAGGAAGAGTGGAGAAACAGTGTGGATGATGTACTAGAATCACCTGGATCTTGGGATAGCAGGGTCTGGGTAAATCTGTCCTATTATGGCCCTTGCTCCCTAAGCTTTGGAACTTCGAGCAATGGGAAGGTATTTTCTAGCCCTAACAGCATATTCTCTATGCAAGCTGACTCTTCTCATGACTGTTGCAAACACAGAAAACATTGACTTCTGCCATGCCATGCATGTTTCCAGAGTCTCTGAGAGCACCAAGAGATTCCGGCTTCCATAGGATCTGGCTTCTTACCTGGAGATGACCACTCCTGGAGAATTTCTGCTCCATGAACCGGTATGAAGTGTGTGTGATGAACAGGGGTACAAGGAAGTTGAAAAAGGCCATGGTGAAGAGAAAACTGATGAAGTTTCTACAGGTACAGGGTAAAAAAAAAAATGGTGGTCAGCTCCAGCATCTGTGCTAGACAATGAGAGGTATCATGCCATCCTAGACAAGACACGGTCAGAGTGTAGCTGCTCCTGTACCCAACTGAGCTCTTCTCAGCAGTCAGGGCCATGTGTCTTCTAAAGTTTGTGTTTAGGAGCGAGGAGCTGAGATAAAGAATACCTCTTCAAGCTCCAATGCTCAGCCTTGCTGTCTCCTTTGTTAGCCAAAGATGGAGGATGATATTCTTCAATTTGGCAAATGTAGGGATAATCTTTTTGTGCTCTGTGTAAAGGCTGTCTTTGTATTATTTAAATGTTGATTTCTGTACTGGCAAAGAGTGGAATACAGGTGGACTTTGGTACTGTTATTTTTATTGGATCATCACCTGCCTGTGTGTTTTGTAAACAGTCTTCTCCATCACCTCCTGATTGGTGTAACAAAGAGCTAACAGCATATAGCTGAGTCAGGAGAGGAAAGGCAAGACTTCCAGGCAGAGATAAGTACAATGGAAAGAACTGAGAAGTGCAGGATTCACCAGCCAGACATGCAGCAAGTTGGAGATACCAGGACTGAGTGAGAGGTAATGAGCCATGTGGCAAACATGGACTAGAATAAATAGGTTAGGAAGTCTCCATGTAATTATTGGGAGCTAGTGGGTCAAAATAATCCAATGATTATGTATATATGTTCACCAAATTCTGGAGGAATCAGTGGGCCAAGAGGAAAGACTATCCAAGGGCATCTCTTGCTTGACATAAGGATTTGAAAATAATGTATAGATGACAAAGAGACTGAATACTGTGTCACTTAAGAAACCAGTGGCTCACACCTGGAAAGCCAAGGCTGGAGGATTACAAGTACACTGCCAGGCTGGGCTTTATAGTGAATTCCAGGTTAGTCTGAGCTGCAGTATGAGATCACGTCTCAAACTATCAACAGAAAACCCATTAAAAGGGCCACAAAAAAAAAAACCCTGGGGTCTCAGTTTAGGCCTTGAGGAGACTGGAGGATGACCGGAACCAAGTAGGAATCAGCAGGAGGCAGATCCTGATTTCATGAAGTGGAGACTACACGCTAAGATCTTGTTGACTAAGGAGAAGTAGGAGAAAGGACTATCAGAGGTGCTTTGTTGGGTGATGCTCTGCAGGACACTGGGGACATTCAAGTGCAGAGGTCAGTTTCACTTGAGAAGCCTATATCAGGGTAAGTGCTCCATGAGTCACTATTGTCTGTAAAACATGAATACAGCATGACTGTACTGGAAACAAGACGTGTGCGAGGTGGGAAGCGTGACGCTAGAAGTCATGTGACCAATCCCCAAATGATCCCTGATGAAATTTCTAAGCTTTTTTTTTCCCCAGAGCTACACAGATGGTGAAGTAATAGAAGAAGATCTCATGGTTGTGGAGACTGCATACATTCAGTCCTACCTTGTCAGGGATCAACCAACGGTGGATGCTTAGAGATTTAGAATTTATCTCTATGCTGGGAGGTCCACACCAATGCAAAGCCCTTCCATGCTTTGAATCTGTTGATCTAAGGGCATGGGTGCCTCTCAAAATCAATGAATTCTGAGTCAATACAGCTTCTTATGCTAAAGAGGACCAAAGAGTAGTGGGGCTCCATGATAGTTAGGATGGATACAGGCAAATGACCCACTCCTCTGGATGCTTGAATCTGAGTTGTACTTTATGTAACATTCACACTGCTTGCCCAGACTCAGTGACAGTCTGTGAGTGGATGTCATGACTACCGAGCTCTGATGTCCCCAAATGTTGACATTGTTGACAGTGGAATTCTCAATTGGAACATCCTTCTCATAGAAGCTTCAAGTCAAGACCCCTCTGGAATAAAGTCTCAAAGCTACAACTTCTGTCTCACCTGTCACCCCTCGAATAGTCCAGTGTACAGCATGTCCCCACAGGCTCATAATCATAGTGGCCCCAGCCCATCAGGGGAAGGGATGCCCAGAAAGCAGATGATAGCCACACAAACAGCACCAGAGGGATGGCCGTGTCCCATGCCAACTGTCTGCCTGCATGAAATAGAGGAAGGATAGTTTGTAAAGAGATAGGATGACCACATGAAAAAGAAACAACTCCGTAGCTGCAGAGTGTCCCCAAATCCCTACTCCAATAGTAACAGCATGATGCCTCAGGCAAGTCAGGGGTATCTTTGAGCCTTAGTTTTCTCTATAGCGAGCATAGCATTCTCTGCCTTTGAGGACTATAATAAGATCATGGGTAGCAATGGTCTCCTCATCTGTCCTAAATCATCTTCAAAGAACAGAAGGAAGGGAGAGGGAGTGAAAACAAAAGACAGATGTGTCTCCCAAAGCCAAGGGTAAGGATGGGACACATGGGTAGAAGTGAGAGGTGCTTGCTGAGGGGCAGGGTGTCTTCTTCAAGGATATGCTATAAAACCTCATGGAATTGGGTTCTATTCAGTGCTGCTAGCAGAAGCTACTGTACAGACAGCCTCTTAGCGTATGATCCAGCCTGACTGACATGTTGTTGTCCTCTTCCCTCTGTCCTCCACAGCCTCACTGAGCAACCTAGGCTCAGCACATCAGTCCTAGTCCCAGTGTCCTTATCTAGGAATGATTTGTTGAGCTCTTTTGACCCCAAGGCAGAGGATAGGGCTCCAGACAGGCTTGAGGCTGCTAAGAAGAAAGGGTTTACAACTTCCCTCATACCATACCTAGCCTATCTTGATATCACTTCAGAGAATTTTCTGGAATGTGCTTCCCTGCTAAAGATAGGTTTGAGGACTCACATCCAAGTGCTGACACTATAATTTCCAGTGCGATGGTTGAAGGTAGGACTTTGGGAGCTCATTAATCATGAAGGGGGAGTCCCTGGGTGAGATTAGTGCTCCTTTAGTATGGTTCTCCCTGGGCTTCAACGTGATCCACAGCTCTCATATTCTTAGAGAAAAAGACGTGAGAGCAATGAGCGTGCTCTCTTCCATGTAAAGATATACCTTGGTGAACATCTGCAGGTTGGAAATGCACCAAGACCAGACCATTCTGGCACACTGATCTCAGATTTGAGAGAAATAAATTTGTATTGTTTAAACCATCTACTCTTTGATGGTTTGTTATAGTAACCCCGGCATCCTCTACTCCAACAGAGAGCATGGTAATTAATATCCAACTTGGCCCAAGTGTGAAAAAAAAAACCTTTTTGATTGAAAAATATGTCCATGCCGGGCGGTGGTGGCGCACGCCTTTAATCCCAGCACTTGGGAGGCAGAGGCAGGCGGATTTCTGAGTTCAAGAGTTCGAGGCTAGCCTGGTCTACAGAGTGAGTTCCAGGACAGCCAGGGCCACACAGAGAAACCCTGTCTCAAAAAAACAAAAAAACAAAACAAAAAAAAAACAAAAAAAACAACAAAAAAAAATATGTCCAAGATAGAATGTTTGCTGCCACCCATTAATGGAACAGAGGAGCCTGGCCCTCCTCTTCCTTCTTCCTTATCTCCATGATTCTCTGCTCCACCCTCCAGAACACAAAGGGATTTGATGTGAAGGCTTGGTGGGACTGGAAGTTAATTGCAGAGATGTTTGTGACTATTAGAAAAGATGCCCCCCTCCCTCCCTCCCCCCTTCCCTCCCCCCCCTCCCCCCCCCCGTGTGTGTGTGTGTGTGTGTGTGTGTGTGTGTGTGTGTGTGTGTGTGAGAGAGAGAGAGAGAGAGAGAGAGAGAGAGATCGATCCTGGGGATATTTCGAATAGGTGCTAGGATGAAAGCAGTAAAAGGTATCCCTAAGGCCATGTTGACAGGAAAAGCTAACATACCGTTCAGAATAAGAGCAAGGCATTTTCCCAATGGATAAAGGCTTTTGATGTCTAAAGGTTAGGTTATGGGGGTCACAGACCCAACAGGAGCCTTCACACTGATAAAATCCACTGCACATGACTTGGATGTCAGTTGGGAAGGGGAACAACAACTTCTGGAAACTTCCTGGCCATACTCAGTGCCAGCCATAATCCTACCTACCATATGACACAGGTCAAGTTGTTTGCCTTCTCTATGACTGTTTCTTAGGCTGCACACTGGAGGTTTCCTGTGTAGGTCAGTTGAAACACAGCTCCTCACAGTATGTCTATGTGCCTCTCTCTGATGAGAATAATGTCACATATTTAAATATGTAATGAGATTTAAGTATATTTACACATCTGATTTTACAGATATTACTTAGAGTAAGAAATAAAGAAGAATAAAAATTTTTTGAGACAAGATCTCATGTATCTCAGTTGGCCTTGAATTCACTAAGTAGCTTCACTAAGTAGCTAAAAATGGCCTCCGGCCTCTGTCCCCTAAGTGCTGGCATTGTAGGCAAGGCCTCACTATGCCAGGGTTATGTGATACTGAGGGCTAGATCTAAGACCTTATAAATGGTAAGTAAGAACCCTGCCAATTGAGCTATATAACCAGACCTTAAATTAAGTTCTAAAGAGAAGTGAGCAGGGCACAGTGATACACACTTGTAATACCTAGTTCTTGGGAAATGGAGACAAAAGAACCAGGGCTTCAAGGTCACCCTGCCTACATATAGAATGTAAGACCAGCCTGAGCTGTGTGAGACTGTTACAAAATGAAACTTACAAAATAAGACAAAACCCATAAGCCTAAAAGAAAAGCTTTTAAAATGTTAAAGTAACTCATTTGTTGGGGGAAAAATAACAAGCAAAGGTTAGGGACATAGCTCATTTAGTCCAATGCTTACACTGCTTGCATAAATCACTAGGTAAATCCCTACCACTGCATAAAACAGTCAGGAAAGTGCACACTAGTAATCCCAGCACTCAGAGGAAGTCTAAAGCCAGCTTGGGATACATGAATCCCTTCCTTAAAACAAAATAAGACAAACAAAAAATAGCAAGCAACCACAGAGCAGGTAGCACACTGATAACAAAATCTAACAACAAGGCTTGTGGAATCCAGACCTGGATTCATCCTAGTGCCTCTCTGCCATGGGCACACACCCAGACCCACCACCACGTCTGTGCCTGTGTGCATGTGCGTGAACATACATTCGCCCTCCTTTTGTCCCCCAACTGTACCTGATTACCAGGAAATTTTCTATATCCATGATCTCATTTGATTTTCAAAATGAATCTGAGATTGTTTTTTTTAAACAACCTTGCAGAGAAAACCAAGGTTCAAACTCTTGAGTCACCAAGACTGCAGGAAAGGCAAACTCAGTCTTTCTAACGTGCTTCTCAAAGCAGGCATTCTGCTGACTTGTCCACCCTCCCACTTTTTCCAAAATGAGTGTCTACATGTTGTATGCATGGACCCTCCCTCTCACACACACTCTCTTGCTTGAAAAACATTGAGTGGAATTGAATACTGACCACTCACTCTATCTTATCCTCATATACTCAGAAGTGTTGTTACAGTTGGTGGGGGGAGGGATTTGGGGACACATACGGGTGCAGTAGTGGTGATAGCGTCCCCAGGCAATGGCTGCACTGCCACAGATGCTGGCCAGTGCTGTTGCAAATCCCTGGAAACCATGAACCTGGCAGCCCTCTGAACCATGTGGCCAGCGCCTATGGGAAACAATGAGCAAGATGACCCTCCCCTCCATCCCTCCCAACCCCCACACCTGCCCAGGGGAACCTAGAAGTTTCCTGGATATTAGTCCTGCTCATACAGGGAGGATGTTATTATCAAAGTCTTCCCACTGTGGAACTGAGGTCTTAGAGTTTACGTTGGTGGGCTAAAAAAGATCTATCTACTGGATGCAGGATAAAAGGACGCAGGTCTTTTAGGTTCAGTGACTCTTTGAAACCACCAGTGCACCAAAGGGTCTTTCTGAATGATCATACGCCTCCATTGCAGAAGGGGAAACTGAGGCCAAGAGAAAAATTACTGATCCATAGTAGCACAACAGATGAAGGCAAAGTTAGAGGAAAAACTCCCAAATCTCTAGATTCTCAGCAGGTAGTGCTAGTTCATAGAGAGGAAGAATGGTTACTGATTCAGGCCCCAAAGGCAACTTTGCAGGCCACATGACAAGACCCTGGTGTGCACATGACATATTAGATGCTGATCTAAACCCTGTTTGCTTTAACAAGCATTTATTTAGGGCTTATCAGGCAGTATTAGTTCATGTTATTTGTAAATAATTAAACCAATACATCTAACAACATGTGTGAATTAGGTTATAATATGTAATTGACATAAGTATCCCAGGATTGGAAATAATGGAGAAGAGACGCAAGGCTAGACCACCTGAATACAGGGCTCGGGCTCTGAATCCTTCTAGCCCACTGTCTCTTTGGTCAGGTCTGAGCAGCTCCTGCATTCCAGATATTGGCTATTTCTTCAGCAATAATCAGACATTGCAGTTTAACTTAGTCTGCCTAATCTCTGACCTTGGGATGGTTTTCTATAGGTAGAAAGAAAGACTCTGGTCTGCTTGCCCATGACTCTAAGGTGAAGCCCCTAGCAAGACCCCAGAGGCTGGGGAAGGGGAAGGGGGAGCGGGAGGTACTGGTACCGGAGGAGGCTTGATACAGCAGCAACAAGGGCATTCAGGCTGATCCCAGTGTCTGCCAGGGCCAGGCTCAGTACCAGCAGGTTGATGGGAGTCTGCAGATCTGGAGTCTTGCAGAAAGAGAAGATGGTCAGGCCATTGAGGCTGATGCCAGAGAGTGCTGAAAGGAAGGGTGAGGGCTGGTATCAAGGCTGGTGAGACCCATATGGTGTCAGGAGCAGGGTCTGGGGTTGATGGAGTTCCAGTAACCTTCCAGAATCCACATCAGTGAGTGACCTCTCAGCACAGCTTTTTGAATGCTGCTCTGGTGGGATGACCCTCAGGTACTAAAACCTGCTCACTACCTACTGCCCATCTAACAGAAATGTAGAAGACTACACAGCCCAGTGTGGCCCATGCTGCGACAGTCACTGACAAGTGCTGAACAAACAGGTGCCAGGTACCCCGAAGATCACTTTACATGGATTCTTTCATTCAGTCTTCTCCCCATGCCTCAGAGATGCTAGACAGCATGCTCTAAGTGCAGTTAGCAGGTAGCAGGGCTGGGGACAATCTCGTCTTTCAGACTTTAAAATGCCGTCTTCAAAGGCTGCGGGACAATGTCGGGGATGGCTCTGGAAAAGAGGATCCAACTTAGGGCCCAGGGGTAACTCAGGACACCAGGCAATGTGAAACTGCAGGAGAGGTTCTCCAGCAGGAGACCTGACCTCGAATTTCAGCTTGACCACTCCCTTGCTGTTCCTTGAACTTTCTTTACCTTGGTTTCTTGTTTCAAAGCTGAAGAACAAGAGTTGGGCCTGATGGCCACATTACTCAAGAAGATGAGGCAAGAGGATTAAAAGTCCAAAGTCAGCCTGTATAACCCACCTCAAAACTAAAATGTAAACACAGGAGTAAGGATGTAATTAGTGGTAGAGAACTTAACCTAGCTTGCACACAGTCCTATCTCACAGCCTCAGTAACATCCTGCTCTCACTAGAAAAGGGGAAAATGATGGAGAGGGAAAGATTTCTCCTTTAAAACTGTGGAGGCCAATGCATGGAAAAGGATTCAGAAAAAAAGAGAAGCATATGCACAGACATAAATTAAAATTTCACAGCATATTAGAGGACCAGATATTAGGGTAAGTTTCAGTGGTTCTCAGAAAACGGGGCCCACTCAATGGTGTCCACGATCTTCAGAACAGTCCTGGTGGCTGTCACTTCTTCCATATTGTCAGTTTTCACCAAGTGAAAGAATGTACAGATTACTTTTCTGGGCTTGATCTGAATAAAGACTGCACCCCATCAGCCTGGAATCAGAACTAACCGTTTCTGCACTCACTAAGCATCTTAGTGAGTCTAGCTTGAGGCAGGTATCTCTTGGGCCTAAGTTGCTGCTGCTGGAGAAGTGCCTTTGGTGATAGGAATAGACCAGGTAGAAGTAGTGGCAGATGTAGGCAGAAGGGGCAGAAGGATAATGAACTTAAATTCCCTGTATGTCTATTTAGACAATTATTTTATACCAACAATTGTACTTAGCCTCTGCAGACACCCATTTATAATGACATGGCTCTTAGAGTCGGAGAGATGAAATAACTTGATCAAGTTCCACAGAGAGCAGGTGGATGAGTTGTCTGTCTCTGGAGACTTCTGAGGCCTGGTTTTATACGAGATTCTTAGCAAAATCTCTTAGGAGTAGAATAAATTTTTCTCTTGACTTGGGGGATATGAAAAACCTAGACTGGGCCCAGTCACCTCCTGAGCAGATAGCATCTGTCCAAGCCAGTCTCCCCCCCACCCTCTCTCTGACTTCTCTCTCTTGACTCCTATGCAGCATACTACATCCTATGGGGGCTGTCATGAGAAGACCTCCTGGATCCAGACACAGAGGAGAGGCAGCCAAGATGACATGAAACCCAGTCTTCTGCCCACTCTATAGTTGTGGTGTGGGTTGTGGGAACCACTGGGACCTTGGTTCACCCAATGTCTCACCTTCCATCAGCAGGACTGTTCCTACAGCCAGTACCTCGAGTTCCCCAAAACCAGCAGGCAGGGCCCTGGTTGCTGCCATCCTTGGGCTCCCTCTGTCAGCTACCCAGCTCTTTTCTGGCTCTCTGAAGCCAGGTTCCTCCTTTTAAATGGTCACTCCACTTGCTGGCACATGGAGATTATTTTGGTGGACTAAGAACTCCTTCTTTATTTCTTACCCTTCTAAGTCTTCCTCTTGGCTCCCATAGAAGGAATCCATTCAGTAGATGGATAGTGCAGCCTTTGTGAAGCTGGAATGAGCTCTATCTCGTTCATTTCAGCCCACTAGGCAGGATTAAGGTCTCGGATCCAAATGGTGTGCGAGTGAAAGCTGAATTGGGAAAGGGTTGCATAACTAAGGGAGGGAAGTGGAAGAAAGGATTTGAGCTGCAGCTGTCCCTGAGAATTGGACAGTAGCCAGGTCCTTCTATGTGCACAGTTGCTGACAAGCTGCCAGTGTGTGTGTGCATGTGTTCCTGTGAGTGTGTGTGTGAGTGTGCGTTGTGTGTTCATTCACAGGCTCATAGACACATGCAGGCAAGAATTTGTGGGGAGGATGAGGTTTGTGAACACCTGCTGTCTTCAAACAAATGTTGCCTAGGACCTGACCCTCAGCTTCTGGTACCGAGTCTGCCGTGACGGGCTGTCTGCTCTGCAATGCTGCTATTGAATCGTTTTTCTATTCAACTGAGGCATTTTCACTCCATGTCTTATTTTAGTCAAGTGCTGGTTGAAATCCATCTTGGATTTAGACTTTAGGGCTTCACTTCCTGTCTCACATACAGCTGTTGGGCTACACAGTCATAAAATATCCCCCAGGATAAAGAATGGCTTGCATTCTTTTTGAAAGTACCTCATGACCCACTAAGAACTTCAGCTTCTATAAACAAGGTCTTGGTACAACCTTTGTACTGGCTCATGCTGAAATACACAACAGGAAACAATGATCTATGTAATGACTAATTTTCAAATGGAAAAACCAAGTTCCAGAGGGTTATTAGCAAAAGAGCTCAGGACTATTAAAGTTAGGGACTGCACTAATGGATGACCATCCAAAGACTCCTAAAAACAACCGCACGGATGAGATGCCAGTACATCTTTTTTTCAGACGAGGACATTGGAGAGAAGTTGTTTACAAATCAGTCCAAGGCCATGTAGCGAGCGGTGGGCAGAATTGCAACAATGCCTCTCCTTCCATCATGTAGGCCCTGGTACCTCCCATTGCTCCCTGTCTTAGGTAGAGTTTCCATTGCTGTGAGCAGATGCCATGACTAAGGCAACTCTTTTTTTTTTTTTTTAAGGTTTTTTGAGACAGGGTTTCTCTGTGTAGCCCTGGCTGTCCTGGAACTCACTCTGTAGACCAAGCTGGCCTCAAACTCAGAAATCTGCCTGCCTCTGCCTCTCAAGTGCTAGGATTAAAGGCGTGCACCACCACTGCCCAGCAAGGCAATTCTTATAAAACACAATTTATTTAATGAGGGCTGGCTTACACGTTCAGAGTTTCAGTCCATTATCATCAAGATATGAGTGTGAGAGAGTCCAACCAGGCATGGTGCTGGGGTCACTGAGAGTTCTCCATCTTGTTCTGAAGGCAGATTTGTCTCAAATGGCTAGGAGAAAAATCACAAAGCACTTCCCCACAGTGACACACTTCCTCCAATAAGTCCATACCTCCTAATAGTACCACTTCCTGGGCCAAGCATATTCAACCACTACATTCCACTCTTTGGCCTCCATAGACTTTTTCAAACACATATGTCTATGAGGGCCATACCTAGCCATAGCATCATGCAAAATACATTTATTCCCAACTTCAAAAGTCCCCATAGTCTATGACATTCCCAATAATGTTAAAAGTCTAAAGGTCAAAATCTTTTCTGAGATTCATTCAATCACTTAACTGTAATCCCCTATAAAGTCAAATCAAAAAATGGATCATGTACCTCAAATATCACAGTATATACATTGCCACTCTAAAATGTCATTGTGAGGAGATACTGAACCAAACAAGACCAAAAAAATAAAAATAAAAAGTAACTAGAGAAACTCCAAACTTTTCATCTCCATTTCTGATGTCAAAGTGCTTCTCAGATCTCCAGTTCTATTCATTCATTTTTTTGACTGTAACAAACTTCTTTCTCTCGCTCTGGTTCCACTCTCTGTTAGCAGCTTTCCTCAGCAGGTATCCCATAGTTCTGGCATCTCTTAAAGTCTTGAGCTCTTCAATGAAACTTCAGCATTACAGCCTCTTGTCCCAGTGTCTAGGAACCACATATGATCTTCTGGGCTCCTCCAAAGGGCTTCAGTCACATCCAGCTCTGCTCGTTGTAACACTCCAAGGTCTGGTTGACTCCACTCCATTGGTGCTTCTGTTCTTGGTGGTCATCCCATTGTACTGGCATCTCTAACATACTGGGGTTTTTCACTGCAACTTGACTTCACCAACAGCCTCTCATAGGCTTCCTTTATGCTGTCAAACCTCAATTTCTTTGCATGATCCCTTCAGTCCTACATGGTCAACTGCAAGCTGCCACTTCACCAGTGACCTTCCATGGCCTCTTACAATTCCAAACCTCAGCTGCTCTCCATGACCTCTTCATGTCTTCAAAATCAGTACTACCTGGGTGACTCTTACACATTACCAAGTCCTGCTGCAGCACAAGGTCCAACTTGGTTATCTCTGGAACACAACTACTTTGTGCACTCAGGAAACATTTCCCAGAAGATTCACCTCAGTGATGCTGCTCTCTTATTAATCACAGATAATTTCTTAGCTCCAGCTAATGAGCATCAATTGTCCCAGTAATTTAAGGCATTAATTACATGGCTTTCTAAATCCAAAGTCCCCAAATCCACATTCCTCCAAACAAAAGCATGGTCAGGCCTACCACAGTGATACCTCAGGCCCTGGTACCCACTTCTGTCTTAGTTAGGGTTTCCATTGCTGTAAAGAGATACCATGAGCAAGACAACCCTTATAAAAAATAACATTTACTTGGAGCTGGCTTACAAGCTCAGATGGTCAGTCTATTAGAATCAAGGTGGGAGCATGGCAGAGTCTGGGCAGGCATGGTGCTGGAGGAGCTGATAGTTCTCCATTTTGTTCTAAAGGCAGACAGAAGACGGTCTCGAACATGGCTAGGAGGAGGGTCTCAAAGCCCACCCCCACAGTGACATACTTCCTACAACAAGGCCACACCTACTCCAACAAGGCCACATCTTCTTATAGTGCCACTCCATGGGCCAAGCACATAAACACCAACCTCTGATTCCCTCTAAAAAGCAATTCCTTCTATTCTGAAGATGTCCAGGTCACAAATCTTCCCTTTTCTCAATACCTACTTAAGTATGAACTTAATGATTCCTAGAGTCCAAAGTTCCAGCTATATCCTCCAGGACTTTCCCTGCTCTTTTCTGATTTCTAACCTGCTGGTTAACACCTGCAGCTGTCTTTCCCATGCCCATAAGATCACCAAAGACATCAGGAAACAAGAGAAGGGACAAGGTTAGGAATAACATATAAGGTCAGCTAGATAAAGTCATAGTGGAGACATTCCAGACAAGAGGGAAGGACAGCCTGGGTGTAGCAGCATGTAGAGAAGACTTTGATTTATAGAGGAAAGTAACAGGTACTGTCCTAGCACTGAGATAACACTATTGGTAGGATACGAAGAGAAGATATGAGAAGTATCATCTTTCAAAAGCTAATATTGTCCAACATGCTTGTCATTGAATTAGGCACTGTATGTATATGCCCTGGGTCTCTGTCTGAGGGTTATTTAGACTGCAACAAAACACCATGACCAAAGCAACTTGTTGAGGAAAAGAGTTTATTTGGCTTATACTTCAACACTACTATTCATCATCAAAGGAAGTCAGGATAGAAACTTAAACAGAGCAGGAACCTGGAGGCAAGAACTGATGCAGAAGCCATGGAAGGGTGCTGCTTGCTGGCTTGCCCCATATGGCATTCTCAGCCTGATTTCTTATAGATTCCAGAACTACCAGCCCAGGGATGGCACCTCCCACAATGGGCTGGACACTTCCCCATCAATCACTAACTTTAAAATGCCATACAGGCTTGTGTACAGCCCAGTTTTATAGAGGCATTATCTCAGTTGGGATTTCCTCCTCTCAGACTTCAGTTTGTGTCAACTTGACATAAAAATATCCAGCACAGTCCCCAGGCATCTTCCTTGGCTGGATCTAAACAATCTAGGCTTGACCAACCTCCTGACTGTAGAACCTACTGGAATCCAGAGGACCAAGTATTCTGAGACAGCAGATAAAGCCAGCAAATGGAAGACTTAAGGAAGTCTAGTATTCAGTCCTGTCTGGCATCTTGAGAAGGTATTTTGCAAGATGGGGTTAGATAAGAGAAAACAAATTCTCCAAAAACTCTGTAAGATCTACAGCTAGGACCCTGCCTAGTATATGATACTTGAGGAGGGGAGACCTCTCTTCTCTTGCAATGATTCCTTTTGTTTTCAGTGTGAGTGGAAACTCCTCAAAAGGTCACCCATTGACATCCCAGGGTTCTCTCACTGGGTGCCCATGGGGCACTGAGGGAACGCAGATGTTTGTCTATGTTCATGAGAATATGTGGACACCTCTAATGTCTCCCTTCAATGTCAGAACCTTCCCAGCTTCTCTGTGAACAAGTGCCAGAAATGGACAGTTTTCAGAAAGGTTCTGTCCCCATGATAGTCAAGGATGGGCAAGCCTGGGCTAATTTTCACCAGTACTGCAGGTGGAAAAGCTTTGTTTCCTTTTGTGCCTGATGATCTGAGCTCTGAATACAGGTGTCAGGCCCAGAAGCATGGACTCGTTCTAATGCCTCCACCACCTTCAGAAGGCCTTGCTTCATGCCACTCTTCCTTTTTAGAGCCTATCATAGGGCACAATCTTTAGAGGGTCTTATTTAGAGGCCACAGTTCTGTTTCCATTTTTTCCTGAGCCTAGCACCCCAAGCACACAGATTTATTACCCCTGACTTGGTTGAAAAGGAGTTCTTTGCAAACAGACAGCTCATTCAGCCAGTCACTAGTCACTTGCCTCTGGGTAGCTGCCCATCTGCCTTATCTTGCTGTGCCCCAGCTTCTTCTGGCCTGGGGTGGTTGCCATAGAGGGATTCTCTCCCTCCCCTCAAGATTGGGTGATTCAGGCAGCAATAAGCTGCTGAGTGCTGGAGCTGGGGCTCCCTCCCTAATCCCCAGCCTGTGTTTATCCCACAGCCTTGGATGGGGGTTGCTGAGTGATGAGCAAGTGGGTAGCTGCTGGACTTACTGGACAAGCAGGACAGAGCAATCCTGGGTCAGGCCCCTGCCTGGGCCCAAGAGGAGCCAGAAGTCATGTGGGTGGCCCTGGGCATGCTCTGGCTCCTGGTACTTGGGGGACCTCACCAGGCCTGGAGCTTCTGCCCTTCTCAATGCAGCTGCAGTCTGCACATCCTGAGTGATGGCAGCAAGGCCAGGTATGACACTAACTAATGTGGGGGTGGGTCACCAAGCATTCTTAGGTCCATCGGCTAGTCAGGGTTGGGAGGGGTTGGATACCCAGCAATTGTCCACAAACAAGTCTCAGGCTCTCTCTTGACATGCTGGATCTGGGACCGTTGAAACCTGAGATGGAGAGAAAGCAGTCTGTTCTGGGTCATCCTCAGGATGTGGGGAGTTTACTCTGCCCAGGAGGGTATGGGACATGCACCTGCCAGGTTCCAGATGTTCTTCGTGAGCCTTCCTTCATGTTTTTTTGTAGGGAGAGGCCCTCCTTTAAGGTCCAGAAGTTTCTTCCTTGACTCCTTTGTTCTCTGTTTGCTTTCTTCCTTTGTCTTTGTATCTCCCAGCTTCTTCTTCTCAGGCATCTCCCACGCTCATGCCTGACCTCCACAACACACAGTCATATTCAGGTGATTTTTTTGCCTCCTAACTCATGGTGGGATACCTGTCCCCATACTCCATGGACTTCCCCTACTTCCAGCTCCCTCAGCCCAGTTCTGGATTTTCCCTCCTGCTTTCTTCTCCTCTTCACGGATCTTTGATGTCAAAGCCACAGTGGTTGGTAGACGTTGCTTTTCTCGTGTTGCTCATTCTTCCACTTGCCAGCTAACTTTAAGGCACCTTTTTAAAAACTTCTTTTGCTTAGTCATTGGGAAACTTGTTTTCTAACTTGCACAAGGACTTCAGTCAGGGCTTTTCCTACCAATTTTCCAACCTCCTGGAATCTGTCATCCTTTCTTCTTTATCTTACGTGAATCCTGGAGAACCACGGATGTTTTCTGATCATGGAAATAATACTATTGGAACTACCCATTTCCCATGATCCTAGTAATGCTGGGTGGATCGGGCATGATGACTGCTGATAAGGAAGCAGAACCCCCAGAAAAAAAAAATACCTTGTATATTCTAGAGAAAAGAAAGCATCCCATCTTTGATATGTTTGATGATTTAACTCATATGGAAAGTAAATTTCCCATTAAGTAAGACAGGCTGGTACATAATCAGCCTGGGAACTGGCTGATGACTAAGGATAGTATGGTGTGATTGGTTTTTGTCACCTTGGTCACAAAGGTGACACTATCCTCAGAGAGCAAATGCCTTGAAGTCACATGCCATTGGTGATGGAACCAGTGCCAGAATCCATGGACCTAATTGTTAGACTCTGGAAATTCTGCCATGGGTGGGAAACAGGAAAATCAGTCATCCTTTGAGGGCAGTGAGACCATGAGAGGCTGTAGGCAAGCCCAAAATCTCTAGTCGCCAAAGGCATGGACTGTACACTGAGATCAAGGCTCCTTTTGTATGTAAGATGCCTTCCTCAGATCCAGCTCTGACTTTTCAGAGTGTCATCCTAATACCTTTCTGGTTTACATTCTGATCCTTAACATAGTATGTGCTCCTCTGGGGATTACAGTTGCAGATGTGTGTGCTGGGAGGTGGCTGGTAGGAGCGATATGTGCGTCTAAATAGATGTTTCCTCCTTTCTCTTAGTGCCCAGTTTTTTAGCCTCTTAAAACCCTTTAAGTCCTCCCTTGGCCACCCTCCATCCCTGTTTAGGAACAATTTCCCTATCAGTTTCCTTCCTTTACCTGAATCCAAACCTTCTTCCTTGTTGACATCTGTATTAGGGTCCTTCGTCCTTGGCTAGATTATCAACAGTGGTGGACAGGCACTGTGATTTTGTTCTGGAGGGCTCTCTCTCTTCGAGTTCCGGAGCTCATCTATGAGACACCACAGTTGGTGTCTGTGTTAACAGGCAGATCTGGGAACTCATAAGGGAAGGATCTTTGCTCAAATATTGCCCATTTCTGTGACTAGGACAGTGGTGTGCAGCGACCCTGACTTGACTCTGCCCCCAGCTTCGATTCCTCCAGACACCTGCAGACTGCGCTTAGAAAGAACAGCCATCCGCAGGGTGCCAGGAGAGACCTTCAAGCCTCTCAGTCGCCTGGAGCAGCTATGGCTACCCTACAATGCTCTCAGTGAGCTTAGTGCCCTCATGCTCAGGGGCCTGAGACGCCTACGAGAGCTACGGCTGCCTGGGAACCGCCTGGTCACTTTCCCCTGGGCTGCACTCAGGGACACTCCACAACTGCAGCTGCTGGACCTGCAGGCCAATCGTCTCTCGACCTTGCCACCTGAGGCTGCACACTTCCTGGAGAACCTTACTTTCCTGGACCTCTCCAACAACCAGCTGATGAGGCTTCCGGAGGAGCTACTAGACACGTGGGCTCACCTGAAGACCGGGCCCTTCCTTTCCGGCCATCATGCCAAGCTTATCTTAGGTAATCAAGGCAGCATCTTTCACCAGAAGCCACTCAGGTCATCCTGGGATCTTGGGCAACTCTCTAAGCTCTTTCAGTCTGAATGACATCATTCTCACCTTCTACACCTGAGGGAAGATGGAATCATGCTAGCATTAATCGTAGGTTTATCAAGAAAAATAGAGACAGCTCATACTCCAGCATTAGAAATAAGAAATCTGAGACTCGAGAGGTCTCCAGTCACACAACCAGTGTGTGGCCCTGTTAAACTCAGTTTCCCAGTTCAGGATGGGATGAGTTAGTAAAATATATCAGCTAGACCCCTTTTCTCTTCTATCCCTCATTAAAACAAAGTTTTACCAAATAAACAAGCAAGCCTTTGCCGCCCAGGACACCTGCTTGCTCATGGAGCTAACAGACACAGTGTAATTGGAAAAGACTGGAAAAGCCATTAGAAACAAAACAAAGAGGCTAATGATTACTTTGTTCCTTTTCCTACTCTAATCTCTTCTCTCAAGGGCAGCTACAAATGATCACATTTATTTATAAGTTAATTATCTTTTACAAGAGATTTACATGTGCATACAAATACACACACACACAGACACACAAAGAAAAGCTGTGTGGTGTTACAATGTTTTATTTGTTTGCCACCACATGTTTCTGGTGCCCTCACAAGCCAGAAGAGGGTGTTGTGTCCCCTGTACCTGGAGTTACAGGTGGCTGTGGGCCTCCATGTGGGTGCCAGATTTTCTGGAAGAGCATCAAGTGCTCTTAACCAGAGAGCCATCTCCAGCCCCAGGTGTTAAATTTTTAAAAAGCATATTGTATGCATTAATTGGCACCAACTTTTTCATCCAAACAATACATCTCAGAGATCTAAGTAACTGCAAATGAGACAAGCCCATGTATTAAATATTTCACAGTAAAGCAGCCACCCACCCCAAGGCCTTTACATTGTTTCCACTGACTCAGTAACACCTTTGGTGCCACAAAAAGTATTCTCAGCGTGTATTCTTTCATTTAATTAATTAGTTAAGTTTTTACATCCTGATCACAGTTCCCTCCTCCTCTGAGTCCCTCCTCCCACCTCCCCACTCTACCCTTCATCCACTCTTCTTCCATTTCTCTTCAGAAAAGTGCAGGCCTCCCATGGATATCATCCAACCATGGCATATTAAGTTGCAGTAGACATTTCCTCTTTTATTAAGTCTAGACAAGCCAATTTAGTAGGAGGAAGGTTCCCAAGGATAGGCAACAGAGACAGAGACAACCACTGCTCCCACTGTTAAGAATCCCACAAGAACACCCAGCTACACAACTCTAACATATGTACAGAGAACCTGAGTCAATCCCATGCAGGCTCCCTGGTTGAAGGTTCAGTTTCTGTGAGCCCCTATGGGCTAAATAAAGTTAGCTTATTCTCTGGTTTTTTTTCTTTGTTATTTTGTGTGTGTGTGTGTGTGTACGTGTGTGTGTGATGTCCTTGACCTCTCTGTCAGCCACGTATCCTTACTATATGTGTGCAAATGTCTCTGAAGGCTAGAAGGTGAAGAGTGAGTCTGCCAGATAAAACACTACATATGTTAAATTTTACAATCAATTTGATTGCTTCTAAAAAGGCTGGTATAATCTTCAGTCTTCGTCACTTGAATGTGAGACCAACCATTCGTATGGTCACTAAGTAAGGTTGTTTTGCATATCTATGTGTATGTGGCACGTGTGTTTGCATGCTTACATGTGTATGGGCATATGTGTGTGCAGGTACCCATGCATGTGTGTAGCAACCTGAAGTTGATGTCAATTATCTTCCATAATCTCCATTTTGATTATTGAGGCAGGTTCTCCCTCTGAATGGAGAGATCACTGATTCAGCTAGTCTAACTACAGCTTGCCCTAGAAATTTCCTGCCTTTGCCTTTGTAGTGCTAGGAATACAGCCTTCTGCAATGCCTGCCTGACTTTTATATGTATTAGAAAATCCAAACTCTGGCCCTCGTGCTCATCCAGATAGTTTTAGTCACCAAGCCAGTGAGTACGTTTGAGTGACTGTGCATCCTTGATACTGTGAGTCCTTTAAACAAATGAAGAAAGGAATTGTGAGGGAAACCAATGCTGTCACTGAGAATGAAAAACAAGTCTCAGGTCATATATCTGGCAAGCCAAGGAGTGACTCTGAGTGGGAAAACTGCCTCATCTTCCCAGAGGCGAAATGGAGCTGGTCCTGAAGACCTAAGGCTAACCTCTTGCTTATTCTCACTTCTACAGGGCTTCAGGACAACCCCTGGGTGTGTGATTGTCGGCTCTATGATCTGGTTCATCTCCTAGATGGCTGGGTTTCAAACCTGATCTTCATTGAGTCTAGACTGAGGTGTGCCAGCCCACGCAGCCTGGCTGGAGTGGCCTTCAGCCAGCTGGAGCTGAGAAAGTGTCAGAGCCCAGAGCTCCGTCCAGGGGTGACCAGCATCATATCCCCTTTGGGTAGCACAGTACTGTTACGTTGTGGAGCAACTGGGATCCCAGGACCTGAGATGAGCTGGAGGAGGGCCAACGGACGACCACTCAATGGCACAGGTGTGTGAGCAAAAGACTTCTGTGTTGAGTGCTGGATTGATACAGCTGAGTTAGCTTCCCAAATGAAGAATGGGCAGTATTAGCAGGAACTGGTGCAATCCAGGCTGGGCTCTCATCTGCATAAATATAATTGGATAAAATGTGCTCATATGCTGGACATCACTTATAACAATGGCTCTCAATCCATCCTGTTATAGCTCATTAGCTATTTTATTATCAGAAACGCCCATGTTGGGAGCAAGACAAAGTTGACTTTTAGCGAGAAAATAACCCTAGTTTACTTAACATTGTAGCAAGTTTTTCTTTTTAAAATAGTAACTCAGAATCATCAGGAATAATTAATGATGGAATTGCCATATGATCTTCATATGGGTCCAATCTTATGTCCATCATGACATTGAAAGCAGGTAAGGTTGGGCATGGTGATCTGTGTCTTATAACCCTAGCATTTGGGAGGCAGGAAGATTAGAAGTTCAAGGGCAATCTTAGCTACATTAGGGGTTAGTAGACTGAACTATATGGGACTGTCTCTTGGAACCATCCCAACTCTTAGCCAAGACAAAGCTGTAAAAGACAACTGGATTACCTTTGTTCATTAAAAAAATGCCGAGAGGTAAATGCTCACCCCACGTCGCACAGCTCACATATGAAGAAGCTGGGACTCTAGTCAACCTGGGTCTGGCTTCATAGTGTGTGTGAAATATCTATTCTGGCTGAGTTGTGTGGGCAGAGGGATCATCTCTCTTATGGTGGCAGCAGGGACAAGGATGACAGCCATATACAGGCAGAAGATAAGTTGAGGAGAAATAATTTCTTGCATCTAACTGGCAAATTTCACATCATACCCAGCTTTCCTCTGTCTCCCTCAACAAGACTGACAAGTGTTGCCCTAGAGTAGGGAGTTTGGACTAGTTTGCAAATCAGTGTAAAAGGCTCCACTGTGTAAAAACACAAAGGTGAAGGTGCTCGTGAGACATGTCTGCTGGGGTATGCAGGGGTGAGCATAGCACTTCCAGATTATCCTCTGCCTCATGCTCACTCCTGAACCTACCTACCCCCAGTGCACTTGCTTGCTTCCCTGAAGGGACACCTTTGCAACTCTCTAGGACCTGAAGGATAAACTTTGGGCACCTCAGGCTTAGAAAGTAATTTATTCTTAGGCAGTTTGTTCTTTAGTAAGGTGGGCCTTGAATGACTCAATATTTCAGTGCACGCCAGTATTTTCTTGAGATGACTGGTATTCACTACAGTGTATGTAGACCAGGAGCTGTGACCTTGGCCTCAGAAGAGAGGCTGTGAAGACAACACATTGACTCCTCCATATCTGCCTTTTCTTTCCTTAGTACACCAGGAAATCTCCAGTGATGGCTCAAGTTGGACTTTGCTGGATCTGCCTGTTGTGTCTCTCTTTGACTCTGGGGACTATATCTGCCAAGCCAAGAACTTTCTGGGAGCTTCTGAAACTCTTATCTCCTTGATTGTCACTGAGCCACAGACTTCTACAGAATATAGTGGGATTCCAGGGGTCCTGTGGGCAAGGACAGGGGATGGGGAAGAAGCTGCTGCTTACAACAACAAGATGGTGGCTAGGCATGTTCCTCATATTCCCGAGCATGTAGCCCTGGCTACCAAGCCCTCAATGCCCAGCATAAAGGAAGAGTTGGCTCTCCAGAACTTTCAGATGGATGTCCCAGGAGAGTTCTCCAGAGAGCCTTCAGAACACCAGGAGTCACAGATGGTCAGGTCTCTCAAGGTGGTAGGAGATACTTACCACAGTGTGTCTTTGGTGTGGAAGGCCCCTCAAGCTGGGAACAAAACTGCCTTTAGTGTCCTTTATGCAGTCTTTGGGCAGCGAGACATGCGAAGGGTGACTGTGGAGCCTGGGAAGACGAGTGTCACTATCGAGGGACTGGCTCCAAAGACCAAGTATGTGGCATGTGTCTGTGTGCGGGGCCTGGTGCCTACAAAGGAACAGTGTGTCATCTTCTCTACTGATGAGGTGGTGGATGCAGAGGGCACCCAGCGACTCATCAACATGGTGGTGATCAGCGTGGCCGCCATCATCGCTCTGCCTCCCACTCTGCTGGTTTGCTGCGGGGCTCTCCGAAGACGCTGCCACAAGTGCCGGGCTGGGAGCTCTGCAGAGGCGTCAGGGGCCTATGTTAATCTGGAAAGACTGGGCCACAGTGAGGACGGCTCAGAGGAGCTGTCCAGGAGCAGCTTCAGCGAGGCAGATAGACTTCTCTCAGCGCGTTCCAGCCTGGACTCCCAGGTCTTGGGTGTCAGGGGCGGCAGACGCATCAATGAGTACTTCTGCTGAGTCTGAGTCCCCACTCACACCTGCCCTCCCTCTTCGGTCTCATATTTTTTTACACCTGACTGTGTGCTCAGCCACCCTGACCATTTGGGTACTGGGCTACTTGTACATTTACATCAACAATAGTTAATGCAGTGTTTTAAGCACTTACTGTGTGCCACCAAGCAGCCAAAGTACTTCATAGTTATTTACTCTCTTAACTTTCATAATAACCATTCACAGCAAGCATCATTTTTCACTCCTGGAGAAGAAACAGGTGTTCAGTATTTTGCCTGTATCAGTCAGTTTCTGCTGTCTAACAAGTAAAAGCAAAAACTCTCTGGTATGCAGCATTTAGAAATGTATTTTTACACTATGTGTCTGTAGGTTGACTGGCATGGCTCTGCTACGTGTGTTCCATTGGGCCTCAGAGGTGGAGAGCAACAATGGCTAGCGGGGGCAGACTTTTCTCAGATGACGTAAGAGGGAAGAGCAAAATCCTGCAATGTCTGTGAATGTCTTTGTGTGAGACTGGCACGTTGCTGCTGCTCATGCCCATATTGTACCTGCCAAAGACAGTCTCATGGCCAAAGGCAACATTAACAAGACAAGCAGAGATACTAATCCTCTGAAGATGATGATGGGAGACAAAACATTTTCGAAACAAATTTACTATATGGCCCGCTATAGTACTGCCATGGGGAAGTGGCAGCTCTAGCTTTGGACCAGGCAGTTGGACAGTTGGTTCTACTGAAAAGTCCTTACCACCCTCTATACAGTTTCATCATGCTTGCACTTATACCAGCTCATGCACACATGCACACAGTTTCTCTATACATTAGTCATGTTTTTGAACACATGTGCCCCCTCATTGAATTCTAATTGGGGTTCTTGGAGATAATCTTGGAGAAATTCTTGGAGAATTTATTTGTATTAAATTCTGAAGACTACTGCTCTTTTGTTCTCAGTATGCCAGACTGGAGAGAGCCAAGAGGCTTCTACAACAGAGGGCACCATCACAGTCAGTCTTGTCTCACACCCAGCCCATCCCCGCGGAGGACCCTTTGCAATGTTTTCTAAAATATAAGTGGTTTTGGAGAGCATCTAGAAGCGATTCTGCTCACCCAGCAGGCAATTAGGAGGAGAATTCTTGCTAAGTTTCTCCTAAGGCAGAGACTGCTGAGATGCTTGTGCACAGGAGTGAGTGAATGTTTCCACTGAAAACTCCATGTATTACTTGCCTACAGAGAAGATGGGTATCAAGTCCTTTGGAGTTTCACAGTCAGAAGTGATCCAAGGAAATTATTTAACTAGTACCACAAGAGATAATTGAAATCATGTGAATGCTGACTAGATATAAATCTTCTTCCTATTTCCAAAGGACCTACATGCCCCTAACAGCCCATTCTGGAGGTTAAGATTTTTGATTTTGCAGAGAAGGAAACTAAGATGCAAGTATATGTATAGAAGAGAGAAATGAGTTGTCTTGGAATCCATGTCTTTGACAACTTTTTGGATGCTATGCCTTTACTCATTATTGATCTTTGAAGTGTAGTCCACAGAAGGCTCACTATGAAAAATGAATTTTTGGCAGCCACTGAAACATGGAATCAGAACCACAAGAACACACATGCACATGAACATTAGAGTCACCAAACTTGATATTTTTCTGTCACCTCCCTGAAGGTTGTATATGATTATAACTTATGGGTCATCACCATTAGCAAGAAAATCTATTTGGTTGGACAGTAATGGCCTTGTCTTCACAGGGGATCAGCTTCTTTTTTTTTGGTAAACAAAACTAGATAGTGAATATTACAAGCTCTGTCATTGCTAATGGAATGAACAAAAAGCAATATAGACTACAGGTGAGTTAATGAGCTTGGATGTCATCCAATAAAATGTTTACAAAAATAGATAATAAACTGGAAGCAACATCCAATTAGCTTTATTGTACTTTGTGAAAGAAAAATCAGGAACTTGAAAGCAGACAATAAAACTAGTATACCCAATATGGACCAAGAGACAGAGAGGAAAAAGGAGAGGAGAAAGAGGAAAAAAATAGAGATGGGATCAAATTTTCCAGCAATCTAAGAGGGCTGCCTTCAGGGTGTGGATGATCACTGCTTCCAAGATGCCTGGACTCTTAATGGCCATGTATCAACTTTCTTTCCTGTGTTCTGTCTTCCCTGAGTTTTCTCTTGTAGGGAAGAGTCAGTCTGGAGTGTTCTCATGGGTATTTATGTTACTAAAACAAACTCCTCTGACAAATCAATAAATAAACAGTATCTAGTTTACATACTAATCTTCCAGTGTAACTCATTCCCTGAAAACTGAATGTTCTTTGAATAGCCTAGAATTCCTCATCTTTCTGTACTAAGGCTAGCTGCCATCTGTGCTACAGTGATCCTGAGGTACACTGCCACTGAGTGGCTAGTTTAAGAGTTGCAAGTCAATGTCAGTTTACATGGTTTCATGGCATCTCCATCATATATTTGCCAGACTACAGCATGATCGTATTCCTCCTCCCTATACAGATGGTTTGTCCAAACTCATTTATTTTCAGTTGCCTTTCCTGGTTGTAGGATACAAACAGACAAAACCAAGTTATGTGCTGGAAAGAGGATCTAAGTTGTCATACTGGACTCTTAATCAAGAGACCAAATGAGTTTGTTCAGAGGGATGGAGTTGAATCTACTGAAGGCATTCATCAATTCTCAGGCACTGTATTTTGTTTACTTGCAACAGCATGGTAGGTAGGGCATATCCAGCTTATGCTATGGCATCAGCTTTCACATTTCAGCGGCTTAGCACATCATGACTCATTCCTGCTCCAGCAGTCTGCTCATTGACTGAGAGCGGAATGATGGAGGGAGGGCTCTGCTTCAGGTACTCAAAGACCTAGGCTATGAGAAACTCCACCATCTGGAATATCAATAGTTACCTCAACAAGAAAAAACAAAACACAACTAGAGAAGCATGGAGGGGATTTTCAAATATTATGACTTCTAGCATCTCAGTAGTAAAAATCAGATCATATAGCTTGAATATTTCAAGGGGCTTTGAAATATGGTCTGCATTTCTCTCACTGGTATACTACACAGCATGAGTGGTCAAGGGACCATCTCAGAGACTGTTGGCAAAAGACAGAAGGGGAAAAGTCTCTATCTAGGGAAAAGGGAAGATATCTGTCTGCTACCTAGTACCACACCCAGTTTTCTATCTGCTCTAAGCTGTCTCAAATTGACTTATTTGGGGAGTAAATGGCACTTTTCAACTGGATGGGATATTCTTTTATTGAAAGTACATTCAGATAAAACAGGAATCATCTCCCAGAAGTAATTTACATTTATACCATAATCACACAGTAATTCTTCTCCAATAATTATGTCTTTAGAGAATGATACAGTTCAAATCCTAAAAGCCTCTTTCAGGAGGGGAGATGAAGATGAAATCTTATCTCTCTTTTGATGTCAGAGTCTCATGACTTTTATGATTACATTTTTTCCAGTTATTTAAGCTAAACAAGACTAACCAAGTAAGTATATTACTCAGGGTTTTCTAGAGGAACCGAACTTATTGGTGAATCTATATTTATATCCATAGTATGTATATCTATGTATAGCTGTCTAGATGTGATATATACCTATCTATATCAATCTAGATATATATACTTATCTATATCTATCTAGATATAGGTATATATTTAGATATATACCTATCTATTCATATCTATCTAGATACAGAAAAGCTCTAAGACAACATTGAAAGTGAGTAGGTCTGAATTTATACTAAGTAGGGCATGGTGTAGACAGAGAAGATATTTTAGGAAAGGAAGAAGATTTTTAGTTTTGGGCTGTCATATATAGGTATAAGAGGAAAGAAAGGAATTTACTCGTGCCTTCAGATAGCCATCCACTGAATTTCAGGGTCCCATGAAGTAAGCCTACTTTGTGGGAAACTTGGCAAAGGATTCTGGAGCAAACTTCTTTCAGTGTTGATTCTTTGTGGACAAACTGGCCAGAAATTGATGTCTCCCCCAGCCCATACCTGCGTGTGTGCTGCTTTGGGAAGGACATTGCTTTGTGCAAGCTCTCCTTGCAGTTGAGTGTCACCTCCTCATCATTTGAAAGAAGATAACGAGAGCCACACATCTCCCCATCTCACACAGACTTTGTGCATGCCACAGCACACTCCTTGTTTGAATTTTTTACCTTGAAAGTAACCGCAAGGATCTATCCAAATGTTGACTTAGATTACCTAGGAATGCCAGAAAATGCATCTGGTATGAGTGGGAAGCCTGGGATGTAAGCAGCTTAGCTGGTGACCCATTTCCGCCTTGCTGGTTAGCTACTAAGCGGATTTTTAGTCACTGAAGCCTTTTGTGAGGTATAATGTATATCATGAATCTTACAAGAACTCATAGAACTTTGGCATTTTCTTGATGTGCCCTCATTTATTAAGAAAGGCAATATGTCCATTCATCTAGACTCTGTCACATAGAGGGGATGAATTATGGGGCAGCTACTGTCCTGGGTACTTTGTTTTAATTAATCTAAATATTTCCTGTACAAACTGTGAGATGTTTGTTGATATTTCTTGTTCTACAGAAGAGACACAGAGGCTCACAGGTTAGAAGATATTTCCCAAACAGCCAGACTCAAAAGCAGAAGCACAAAGAAGACTAAATGAGGCAATATCTATAGCATTTATTTTCTTACACTGTTGTGCCTAGCAAACATAACTTGCAGTGAACAAACAATAAACAGTGGATGTGTGAAGAGTGATAGAGAAGTATCTTGTCATAGATGACATTTATAAGCCTGACACTTGCTCTTTATGGTATGATGCAGTGTTTTAGAAAAGTCAAGGAAAAGACATATCATTAAGCTTCTTGCCTTAGTCCCAAAAGCTTTGTCCTTATGCTTATAAGCTTCCATATTGGAAAGACACCCTGATGTTTCTCCAATTCTAGTGATAAGAATTGCAGAAGCATCTGTCTTAATGAAGTAAAAGTATGACTAAACACATCACCCATAGTGCTGTCAGACAGCAAGCAAGAAAAACAATCATAGGATTGTTTTGTTGCTCATTATCTGCTTTCACTTCAAGAAAATAATTGGAAATTGGGTTTTCAGGATTCCCTGGATTCTTTGTAAGAAGCTGAGAGAAGGTAGAAGCAAAATAGAGCTTGATGTCTGATGTATGTTTCTCTTTCCAACCTCAAGAACCACAGCTTTCTCTCTTTGATTAAGAGACACAACTTCCCGACATGGGCTTTTCCTGAGCCTGGGAGCTGGGCTGTAACAGACCTCGGGGCATTCAGGGCTTTAGTGCTGCTGTGCTGACCTACATCTTTATGGATTATCAATAATAGGATTTGCTATTCAGAAGCTGAGACCATACCTACCCAAACCACACAAAGTATTGCCTACAGATAAATATGGCTTTTGTTTTTTACTGTTTCTTACAAGTTCTGGTCTCTTGGGTTATGCATGCAGCACAGCCGTTCTGTCTGCCAGAGTGTACCTGCTCAGAGGAGAGTTTTGGCAGGTGTGCTGTGCTGACAGGATTCTAGAGGGTGATGTGGGGGTGGAGGAGATTTTCTTTTAAAATTATATGGAGCAACAGAGGCTTAGAGTCTGTGGGAAATCAGCTAAATCTGCATGGAATTCATTTTAGTTGGTTCTGGAGTTTACTGAGCAGAGCATTTTTACCAAAAGCAATCTCTTTTATTTTAAGTTCATTATTTTTTATTAAATCCCCATGTCTAATGACAGGATCCACAAAATACCACTTATAGGTTCCTTAATGCTTATTAAAGTTTTTCTGCTTTCTTATGCAGGAGCCTTCAGTGCATGTCTATGTCTTTGGGAAAGATTCCAGACAACTTTCCTGAAGAACTCAAGCAAGTGAGAATTGAAAACTCACCCTTATTTGAACTTCCCCAGGGGTCTTTCAGCAACATGAGCACTTTGGAATACCTTTGGCTCAACTTTAACAATGTCACTGTGATCCACCTAGGGGCCCTGGAGGACCTGCCAGAGCTGAGAGAGCTGAGGCTGGAGGGGAACAAACTCCGTTCAGTACCTTGGACAGCATTCCGTGCCACCCCTCTCCTGCGAGTTTTGGATCTCAAACACAACAGGATTGATGCACTCCCTGAACTGGCTCTTCAGTTCCTAGCCAACCTGACATATCTTGACATATCCTCCAATAGGCTGACAGTTGTATCCAAGGGTGTCTTCTTGAACTGGCCAGCCTATCAGAAACGGCAGCAGCTTGGTTGTAGAGCTGAGATTCTCTCCAATATGGTATTGTCGTTGCACAATAATCCCTGGCTATGTGACTGCCGTTTAAGGGGGCTTGCTCAGTTTGTCAAGTCCATTGGTCCCCCTTTCATCCTGGTGAATTCTTACCTGATATGCCAGGGTCCAGTCTCTAAGGCAGGGCAGCTTTTACATGAGACAGAGCTCGGAGTTTGTATGAGTCCAAATATCTCCACCCCTAGTGCCAATGTCACTATCCAGGTAGGAAAGAATGTGACCCTGCAATGTTTGGCACAAGCCAGTCCCTCACCAACTGTTGCATGGAAGTATCCCCTGAGCACGTGGAGAGAATTTGATGGTAAGCCACATGTACTTTCTGTATATATATATGGGGGCAGTGTAGAGGTCTGTTAGGACTCTTTCTCAGTACTATGCCTGTCACAACGGATGGGTGCTGGTAAGATTGGCATATATGTGCATTAACTCCATAGAACAGAAAAGGGTCCAAGGTAGCATTCCATGATCAGCAATGTTTAAAGTGGGTACATGTAGATCTCACATATAAATAGATATATTGGATCTGATGATCTCCTATAGTATATAAATAATAGAATTACAAATGAGCAACTATATTGTTTTAGGACCTTCTGGATTAAAAGCACAATTTTAACATTTTAGAATCCTAAAATTTCTGGCTAGAACTTACTGTAGTAAGTGTTATTTATCTCCTAGACTTGCCTTACCTGAATTACATGGGGTGCTACTACAATACGATTTGTAAGGCCCTGCTCCAGAGATTTGAACTCAGTGAGTTCAGGGCCAACAGTATGTATTGTTACATATGGATTTCTTCTGTGTTGCCCTTGAGTGATTCTCCATAACTTAAGGATAGCAAGTCCTACATATCAAATGAATATTTACTTTCTATTATCATGTTAGCCAGACAATACTAGCTCAAAATTATAGGCCCTAGAGAGATTAAATGACTTTAGGAACCCATAACTGGGGCCTGATTTCTTGGCACCAAG